TCTTTCCCTTTCTCTGTCTGTATCTGTCTCTCTCTGGTGAGCGCAGGTGCCATATGGCAAAAACTTCCCCAAAAAATTATGAAGGAACATCTCAAATCCTTCCATATATATACATAAATTTATTAAAAAGATTTAATTAATGAAATCCATTGTCAATCATAGGAATAAACATTTTGTCATTCTAGGAAGATCGTGTAGTTATTGTTTTGATAAAACCATAATATGATGATAACTGATTTTCTTCCACAGCAGGATTTAATTCCTGACCTTTCCTTACAGAAGAGATGTCTAATACTAATACATTTTGAAAACCCTACTTCATATTCCCTCTTTTATCCTTTATCTTGATTCCTCAGACTTCTTAGAGCCTAGAGAAGAGCATGCTCCTTGTCTTCTAAAAGCCTTCAGACACTGATTCCAACTCATGTCTTAACTACACACACACATATCTTACCAATAAAAATTATATTCACTAGAGTTTGATCAACATGGAAGCGGAGAATAAGGTCATGCTAACCCTCCCCATTTTTCCAGTCTAGAGAGCACAGTGGTCTGTAGAACAAAACTAAAGGCAAGCTGATGATATGTGTTAGGACAGAAATCTTATTTTTTTGGGATGCTTGAGAGTATCCTTGGACTAGATGAAGAAACACTATGTTGGAAAATATCAAAGGCACTAATAAATTGAAAACGCAGATGTTATTTATTTCTCTGTAACCATGGGATACAGCAATCTGCTTTATGTTCTTTTAGTACAAATAAGGAATTAGACTAATTTAAGGAATGAAGCCCTCTGTCTTATAAATACACTGTGTTAATCTCTCTACAAATACAACTTATTTTTTTGAAAATAAGTGGTTATTTTTCATGTTAAGTGCACAAAGTAGGCAATACTTACTGAGAGAAATAATTAACACACAATAAAAGAATGATGAATTGAAACATGCACATGATATGCACATTAGCAACAGTGGCTGTTAACACTAATAGTGATTCCTGAAAATTAAATTGTTGATTCAAAGAAATTGATGTCTTAAATACTCAAATAATAAAAAAAATACTTAAGTACTTCATAGCATATAAATATGTTAGTTTAAACCTACAGCCCAACAATCCTTACTAATTTTTGTCAATTTAGTTAATTAAAAACAATCATTTTAATTAGGATTCTTTTTGCTGATGGTTAGACCGAATAATCTTCCTACACTATCTAGTAGTACTTCTTTGGAAAATTCCATGTTAACACCTTTTCTCCATTATTTTCTACTGTCGTTTTTTGCACTGACCTTCAGGAAGCCCATTATCTTACCAAATGTTAGATGTGCTTCAAATATTCCCCCAGTTTATAATTATCTTTTTGAATCTGTAGAATCATTTTTTAATCATAAAATAGTTCTTTGTATTTTAACAAAATGTATCAAGTTTTACCTCTATGGTTTATATCTGTGGTTTTATCATTGGAATATTTTTTCCCACTCCAGGATTATATCAATATTTATTTTCATCTTGTTCTAAATTGTAGGGTTTTTCTTTAAATTATACATGTTGAAGCATGAGGAATTCATTCGATCTATATTGTGGTGATATATTTCTTTTTCTCCAAATGATTAGTTTTCCTGATCCTTTTATTTAATAACTTGCCTTATTATTACTTATTTAAAGGTCTATCTTTATATAATTGTTACCCTGAGCCTCTTCTTATGCTTTTAATTCTGAGCTAGGGTTGTATTTGTTCCTAAATAGATACTAAATTCTTTCAATTATGTCAGCATCTAATACAATTTAGATATGATTTTATGTCGTGTGATTCTTTTAGTAATCAGAGCTAACCTTTCTATGTTGGTAAATGTTTCCATCAGTCCTTCTAGATGATGTATTTTTTCTTCTGGATATTTTTGTTTACTTCTTTCAGTGCTCAGTTTTCATTCACACAACATTGCCATATTACACATTATATTTTAGAGATGGTATGAAAGTTTTTTTTGAGACTTTTGATATCTCTTACTTTTCCTAGTGAAAGGAACAGGATTGGATTTTAGATTTTACTAAAAATTCTGTTGAAGTTAACTTATTGCTTTACACTCTGTATGTCTTGAACGAAATTTAAATCAGCTTTATTTTTATCAGTTTTATTGTTTTACCTTAAATGTCATAAAAGTAGACAATTCAAAGGTTACTAGTAAATTTAGTGTTAATTGCCACTAGTTTCAAATTTGGAAACATTTCCCTGTTATCCAAAATAATTCCCTAGTATTATTTTGCTATCAGTCTCACTCTCAGTCTCAGACAGAAATAAGCACTGATTATTAATTTCTTTCTTGTCTTTAAATAGTTCTCTTTTCCAGTTATTTTGTATAAATGGATCAGACAACATGCTATGTTTTACATCTGGCTTCTTTCACTCAGCATAATGTATGTGAAGTGCATCCATTTAGTAGCACATATCAGTAAAGTTTTCTTTTTCCATGGAAAAGCATTCTACTGTATAAGTATTTCACATTTTGTCCACCAATTAACTAAGTGATAGATATTTTAGCTGTTTTTAATTTGGGTATTATGAATAATGCTGTCACAAACATTCATGTACAAGTCTTATGTGTGCAGACACTTTCATTTCTCTTTGTTAGATTCCTATGAGCAGAATTTCTGGATCTTATGGTAAGTATATGTTTAAATTTTTAGGACTCTGCTAATCTGCTTTTAGTTTTGTTTGTTTGTTTTGAGAGTTTTTTTTGCTATAGGACGCATGCGCTCACCAGAAAGAGAGAGACAGAAAGTGAGAAATCAACCCCCAGGGGGGATGGCCATGCCACAATCCCTTCTCCTCCATTCTCCTCTCGGGATCTTGGGCATGCATGCACACATGCCTGGCATGAGTTTAAGCCACTGGGTCCTGGACTCAAACTGTGGTCGACTACATGGGAGTCCAGTGACATAGCCATTATACTAACTGCTGGTCTCGACAAAATTCTTTAGTGTAGGTGGAGATATACTGAGTGCCATCCAATATTTTGACTCAGTCCATCTCCATATCCCTTCAGCGAAGTTAATCACACAAAAAATTCTAGATTTACAGTAGCTATCAATTTTAGCATTGATATTCGTATTTGTTTGCTCCCTTTTTTCTCATATTAAATATATACAATTTTTGTCAATTACACCTAATAAACCTGGGAAAATTATACTAAAATAAAACAATACTCTCAATAATAGTATATTTTGGGAACCAGCAGTTAGCGTAATGACTATGTCGCTGGACTCCCATGTAGTCGACAGCAGGTCACGTCACGGACCCGGTGGCTTAAAACTCATGCCGGGCGCATGTGCATGTGTGCCCAAGATCCCGAGAGGAGAATGGAGGAGAAGGGATTGCGGCGTGACCATCCCCTCAGGGAGGGGGGTGATTTCTCGCTTTCTGTCTCTATGTCTCTCTGTCTGTCTGGCAAGCGCACACGCCCTATAACGAAAAACCTCTCCAAAAAAATAAATAAATAAATAAATAATAGTATATTTTTAGATATGCTTTTTTTTTGAGAGGTTTTTTCTAAGGCCTCGTGCTCTTGCCAGAAAGACAGAGACAGAGAGACAGAAAACAAGAAATCACCCCCCTGTTGATCTATGGAGCTACCATAGAACAATTAGTCAAAATGGGAAAATTGAATATATAGGTTCTGGCTCTAGAGACAACTGAATCTAAATACATTCATAATTTTTTGAGGCTCTAAAGTCTTTCATGCTCTGGTTGATGCTCAGTATTATCTCTTTCTCTTTTTATGAACTTCAACAATTCATACAAACTTCTAAACTATACTTAATGTATCTGTAACAAAAACTCCTACATCCTATGTTGGTCACAAGATTCAAATGCAATAATCTATGTGAAATATTTAGAACCATGTATAGGACATGGTTTTATTGACACATATTTTATATCTGAGTAATTCTCTAAGAGATCTAAGGCCATAGTAAGGCATATATGTAACATATATATCCAGGGTGTATATGTAACAACAACAAAAATCCTACTTTTTGTTTTATTGATATTTACCGCAACAGAAGTAAGTTGCACAGTAATTTTAAAAAGCACTATGGTAGTGTTGCAAACTAAGAATATCATCAATCTTTTAATTCAGAGGAACTGAATCATATCCTCTTAGTGAAGATGTATAATGAGGCTAGGATAAACTGGGGTGGATAAATAGGTAAATGTAGTCTCTGAAAATAAATCTTTTCCTGCTTACTAAATGGCTAAGTAAAACTTAGCATTTGAGTTTAATAATTCTAAAAGTATGTAGTCTTAATTGTGAACAAAAAGAATATTTCAGGAAGAGCAAATAAGTGTAAGTGAATTGGTGAGTACATATTGGTTATGTATTATAAGCAAGCAACTCAACTAAGCAAAGATTAGCTAAGAATATCCATTAATATCATGAGCCTATATTAATAAATATAAGACTATAATTCAGTTGAAGGATTAAAAAAATCAACCAAAATAGTTTATTAAAGTACAAGATGCTAAGAGATTAAAAAAAAAAGAGACAAGAACAAATAAAGCTTGGCTAAATACACTGAGGTTAAATTAAATATAATTAAATACCTTGCTTCAGTGATGAATCTCACAGACACAATATTGAGTAACAAATCAGACACAAACAATATATACAATACATGCTTTTACCGATATCGAGATTAAGATTAAAAAAGAAATAACTATGGTAATAGAAGTCAGAATAAAGTCAGAAACATGGTTACTATTGGAGAGGGTGTTGATGAGAGTGGGGCATTAGAAAGCCTTCTGGATTGTCGATAATGTTCTATCAGTTGATCTTGGAAGCAGCTGCATGGGTACAGATAGATGTCAAACTTCATTGACCTGCATTCTAAAGTTCTGTGCACTTTACTGAATGTACACTAAACTTCAACTAAAATAATTTACAATTCTAAATTTAGAAAGTCAAGATATTACAAGAGAATTCAGCTACCACAGAACAAAATGCCAATCTTCCATAACTATACTTCTCCCATTTTCCTCCTCACGGGAGTCCCTGGACTTGAATGGGCCCATACCTGGATCTCCATCCCCTTCTGCTGCCTCTATATAACTGCCCTTTCTGGGAACACCTTGATCCTGTTCGTGGTCCTCACTGAGCCAAGCCTCCATGAGCCCATGTACTATTTCCTCTCCATGCTGTCCACCACTGACTTGGGTCTATGCATCTCTACTCTGGGGACAGTGCTGGGAATATTCTGGCTCAATGTCCGGGAGATCAGCTTCAATGCTTGTTTATCACAGATGTTCTTTATTCACCTATTTACGTTCATGGAATCTTCAGTGCTCCTTGCTATGGCCTTTGATCGCTTTGTGGCCATTTCTAACCCCTTGAGGTATGCTACCATTCTAACTCATGCAAGGATAGCCCAGATTGGTTTGGCAGTCATTACCAGAGGAACTGTCATTCTGACACCACTTGTCCTGCTTCTTAAGCGTCTGTCATTCTGCCGAAGCCATGTGCTTCACCATTCCTATTGTTTCCACCCTGATGTGATGAAGCTCTCATGTTCAGACACAAAGATCAATAGTGCATTTGGACTAACTGCAATCATCTCCACTGCTGGAATCGACTCCATCTTCATTCTGCTCTCCTACATCCTCATCATTCGCTCAGTTCTCAGCATTGCATCCCCAGAAGAGAGGAAGAAGGCCTTCAGCACTTGCATCTCTCATATTACTGCAGTGGCCATATTCTACATCCCTTTGATCAGCCTGTCTTTCGTTCATAGGTTTGGGAAACATGCTCCTCCCTACGTGCCCACCCTCATAGCTAATCTGTACTTGCTCATCCCCCTTGTGATGAACCCCATCATCTACAGTGTGAAAACAAAGCAGATTCAGAAAGCTATACTCAAACTTGTTTGTCCCAAAGGAACTCATATTTAACAATTATTTATTTCAAAGTCAAAAAGTTTTATCACAAATTAAAGCTATAAAAACTCATGCAATCTTAAAGTGTCTCTTGCTGTTATGCCATTCAAATATCTCTACAATGTGGTTATCCTTTCTATAGCAATTTTATCTTTTCTATTACCAGAATACTAATTCAGATTCTCATTGCCTCTCAGCCACCCTTTTCCAATAAATAACTAACTACCATTTCTATGCTATTTCTGCTCAAAATAGTACCAATCATTTTGAGTTAATGTTTCAAATATCCATGTGTAATAAAATTTAAAAACAAATAAATTTTCTCTAATAAATTTGAAATTTTTTAAATAAAATTTGGAAACAAAGAGATAAATTTCTTTCCAATAGATAACTAACTACCATTTCTATGCTATTTCTGCTCAAAATAGTACCAATCATTTTGAGTTAATGTTTCAAATATCCATGTGTAATAAAATTTAAAAACAAATAAATAAATTTCTAATAAATTTGAAATTTTTTTAATAAAATTTGGAAACAAAGAAATAAATTTCTTTTGCATGTTTATTTCTCACACACCCAGTAAAAAAAGCAATGGTTCCTCTCTTTGATACATACAGTCTTTCACACAGGAGGTAAACTTTCCTTTGAAGTTTAATCTACTCATTTTTCTTCTCACATACTCTGCAGTCTAACATAACTGGTACACATCCTACTCCTTCATACAGATGCAGTGGGGTTAATGGCTTCACTGCTGACTCCACTTCACCTTCACCTACTCCTTACCTTAAAATTCTGCCTATAATTCAAGACTGTTCTTGAAATATCTTCCTCACTAAATTTTTCAGGATTACTCCAATGATATTTTAATTTTTTCTTTCCATAATTTGCCTTACCTAGTGCTTTGTCTGTATCTGTTTTGCCTTTATACATACCTGCATGAGTGTATATTAATTATTATAACTTCCATAAGGGTATAAATTCCATAAATAAAAAATGCCTTGATTTTCATTTAAGTCTCTGCAATACCTAGTAAAAATACCTCTCAGAGAGAGGACTCTGCTGATCATTGTTGAATTAAACTGTAGGTAATAAACTATGAATAGTTCATCCAAAAAAATCCTAGTGATAATGCCTTCAATTAAATGTTTGGCATCTATAACATAAGAAATTTCTTAATGGCACAAAGAGGTGTGGTATTATCTGTTGAAAATATTTTGTAGTTTTTTCAACAGTACTAGGGAGAAATGTTCACCTGTTTAAATATCCATTTAGTAAAATAAATAATAATGTGATTGACTGTATGGATGAAAATAAAATTTAAAAAAAAGAAAAGAAAAAAATTTAAAAATTTAAAAAAAAAGAAATTTCTGTTATAACAAACCCTAATTTTTCTATTTATTTTATCAAGCAAATGCTCATAGATCTGACTTTTCAAACAACATAGCTGGAAGGCTATTTTAGAGCCAGAGGTCAGCCATATAGGATCCAGCTGTCTGTGTATAGTGCTTAACCACTGCACTATGAGGCCAGCCCTCAGTTTTGTTTAAGAAGATTTTGCCATAGGGAACATGCACTTGCAGGAGAGAACGAGAGACAGTGAAAGGGAAAGTGAGAAATCATCTCCCTGGGAGGATGGCCATGCCACAATACCTCCTCCTCTATTCTTCTCTTGGGACTTTGGGCATGCATGCACACTTGCCCAGCATGAGTTTCAAGTCACCAGGTCTGGGACTTGAACTGTAGTCAACTACATGGGAGTCCAGTGATATAACCATTATGCCATCTGCTGCTCCCGACATTCAAGTTTTAATGGTGGAATCTCATCTGTGTTTTCTAAAGGTTGTTTATAAACTAAATATATAATAACTATGGCTTAAAGTCAAACACATGATTTTTTGAGGATATTATTAAAAATACATGCACTGGTACCAGTAGTTGGCATAATGACTATGTCGCTGGACTCCCATGTAGTCTACTGTGGTTTGAGTAGTTCTGGACCCAGTGGCTTAAACTCACGCTGGGCATGTATAAGTGCATGCCAAGATCCTGAGAGGAGAATGGAGGAGAAGGGACTGCAACGTGGAATCCTCCCCCACCCCCGGGGTGATTTCTCATTTTCTGTCTCTCTGTCTCTATCTGTCTTTCTGGCAAGTACACGTGCCCTATAGCAAAAACCTCTCCAAAACAAAAATATATACACTTAGCACAGCTATACAGTAGAATATTATTCAGCACTAAAGTGAGCAATCAAGCCACAAGAAAAAATACTGAGGAAACTTAAATTCTTATTACCAAGTGAAGACAAAACAATTTGAAAAGGCTACACAGTGTAGGATTTTATCTACATGACATTCTGGAAAAGGCGAAACTTTGAAGACATTAAAAAATTCAATGATTTCCAGGAATTTGAGAGAAGAGAGAGGTAAACAAGCAGATCACAAAGGATTATTTTGGAGCAGTGGAACCACTCTGTATGAGTCTATAATGAGAGATGAATGTCATTAAACATTTATCAAACCCATGGAACATACAATACCAATAGTGAATGTGAATGGAAGCTTTGGACTTTGGGTGATAATTATGTAAAAATGTTGGTTCATCCACTGTAACAAATCTACCACTCTATGGGGAATGGTGGTGGTGGGAGAAGCTGTGTGTATGAGGGGAATAAGGGTGTTTTTGCCCATTTTCTGTTGCTTAGTGACTGAATAGCTGAAACTAGGTAATTTATAAAGAATTTAACTTCTGGTTATAAAGGTATAAAGTAAAAGGATCACATGTGAAGAGGTTCTTCTTGTTGGTGAGTCTCTGCCGAGTCCTGAGGTGGCACAGGCATCACATGGCAAGGCAGAGCAAGTGTCTGTGTATCAGTATCCATATTTGTCTTAGCCCCCTTCTTATAAAACAAATCAGTTTCAGACTAGAGATAGACTGGAATTCCATCAGGATTCCATCACAGGGTCCCACCCTGATGGTTTAAGCTAATTCCAATTTCTCAAAGGCCTCACCTTTCAATACCATAGTCAAATTAAGTTTTCAGCCTCTTATTCCTGTCACAATTAAATTTTAACACATAATTCTTTTTTAGAGTTGTTTCGTTTTGCCATAGGGCATATGCACTTGCTGAAAAGAGACAGAGAGACACACATAAAGAGAGGGAAAGTGAAAAATCATCTCCCAGGGAGATAACTATACCACAATTCCTTCTCCATTCTCCTCTTGGTATTTTGAGCATGCACATACATGCACCTGGTGTGATTTTTAAGTCACTGGGTCCAGGACTTGAACCACAGTTGACAATGTGGGAAACCAACACCTTAGCCACTATGCCACCTGCTGGCCTCAACACATGAAATTTTTGAGGATACATTCAAACCATAGCAGAGAGGTATTTGGGGGTTCTGTACTTCTTTCTTAATTTTCCTGTAAACCTAAAATTTCTCTGACAAAGTCTATAAAATACACATCCTAGGGTCCTACTCCTAGAGTATTTTATTTTACTAGTTCTTGGATAAGGCCTAAGAATGTGTATTTATAATAAGATCCTCATATGTAGATAATAGTCAATTATAGAACTGTAATATTTTTCATTTACTATCTACATTAGAAACTTACTTCTTTTGACCTCTATGAAGAAGAAAATAAGTTTTTCTTTCTGTGGAATACCTGGATGACTTTAGTGGTCTCCTTCCTGAAGCAGATGTGAAAACTACTTTCATTTTTCATATATATTTTCCCGACACATAATTTTAATATCATAGCAACTCAAAAATAAAACAATCTCAAGAACTGCATGATATAAAACCACATGGGTAGGATAAATTATGGAGATTTGATGTACACTATGGTGACTATAATTAATAATATCGTGAAACTAGCTAAGATAATAAATCTTAAAGGTCTTCACTTTATACACACAAATACAGATACATATACATGAAAGATAACTATGTGAGGTGATGGATATGTTAATTGCTTGATTATGGTAAACATTTTATATGTTTAAGTGTATTAAAACGTTACATTTAAGACCAGCAGGTGGTGTGGTGATTAAGGCGATGGATCCCACATCGCCTACTTTGCAGTTCAAGTCCTAAACCCAGAGGTTTGAAAATCAGGCTGGGCAGATGCCTGTGTACCCAAAATCCTGATAGGAGGATACAAGAGAAAGAAATTGTGGTGTGACCTTACCTCCAAAGGGTGATGTTGCACTCTCTCTCTCTCTCTCGTTAGTATACACACTCTATAGTAAAAAATAAAATAAAATAAAATCATGCTTACATACCTTAAAATGACCTTACCTCCAAAGGGTGATGTTGCACTCTCTCTCTCTCTCTCGTTAGTATACACACTCTATAGTAAAAAAATAAAATAAAATAAAATCAAGTTTACACACCTTAAAACATACCATTTGTATGTCAATTTTACCTCAATATCTGAAAAAAATAAAAAGAAAAGAAACCATATAGGCGTGTGAGTATATTTAGGAATGAAGTGTGTGTCTGAAATGCAAAAGAAATACAATTGATTAGAAAAAGATCCCTTAGGAATAGGTTTTTCTTTCGGGTAAATGAGCCTCCTGAGGATGGACTCTCATAAATACCCTCCACTCTGGGAGCTGCATGGGACCTTGGAGCCCTGTCTCCTCTTTCTCTCCCTCCACACTCAATGTAAGTACAAGGACATCCAAGAGGCAATGAATATGAATTACTGTTAGAAGATTTATATGTGTTTACTTTGTAACAAGAGATTGGCTTCATCAGTAGTATTTCTAAGAAGAATGCAAACACAAAATGATGTGAAACTGCATTAAGAATTTATAATAAGAAAATTCCTGGTATTTTATTATTTTTATGGAAGCTTAGAAATAAAAAATAGAGATTCTTTCCAATCTACTGACTCTACATTCTGAAAAGATTCATAAACAGTGGAATTCTGAAAAGGAAAAAAAAATCAGAAAATGTCATTTGAAATCTGTCTGAAATTCCTGATGTAAAAAATATCTCACATTTACTATTTATGATGAGTCTGAATAGCCACCAAGTTGAATTTGAAATTGAGTCATTAATGTAGAATTCTACCATAAACTAGAATAATATATTTAACTTACATGAAAATAAATAACATAGAGCTATTAGGGACCATATGCCTGAAAGTTCAGTGTTTGAAAGTAAGCAATTTCCCCAACAACTGTGGTTAGTAAACTCTAAGCATTCAGTTATTTCTGCCCTGGTATGGATTATATTGCTCTATTCAGAATAAGAGACTTTTGGGTCACCTCTGTGGTACAATGGTAATGTGCTGCTCAAGAGAAGCTTGATGCTACACGGAGCATTGAATCCCTGGTCCAGGGAGCCTGAAACATGCCAGTCATGCATGTGAGTGCTCAGGGCTCATGTGCTGGAAGACTGAAAGGAGAGAATCAAGACATAATCAGACCCTGTGGAGGGTGCTCACCTCTCTCTCTCTCAACACACTTATATTCTTGTACTCTCACCAAAAATAAATTTTAAAAAACTTTAAAAGAATAACAGCTTTAATATGCTTATAGTGATCAAGACAATCCAGCCAGGCTAATAACAAAATGATGCATTGGAAGTTGGTTAACTTAAGTTAAATTTCAGCAGTAGCTATGAAAATAAGCAAATCTAATCTTAATATCCACATCTCAAAACTATAATCCCAGCAATACCTATTATGGTACAGACACTAATTAATTTTACCAATAGCTTTAATAATTTTTCAGGTAAGGAAACAATTGCTTTCCATTGCCTCTGAATATTTACAAGGAAATGAGTTTTAAATAATTTGTTAACAAAAATCAGGAAGAGAAAAACAAACTTATTAAGTCTCAAGTGTTTGAAACTCTTAAACCTATGCATATATATGCCTTGGAGAGTTAAGAAATAATAATAGTATATGGCTTTGAGGGGAGAAAAATAACATAAATATTTGACATTTTGGTAATTCACATGCATATGTAACACTAGTGGTGTGTGTGTGTGTGTGTGTGTGTGTGTGTGTGTGTTTTACTTCATGCTACCAATTTTTTACCATTATTGAGAAGGATCAATATGTACCATAGCAAAATTTAACCAAATTTTTAATTTACACTGATAAAATTAAAATCCTAGCTCTTTCACTCTATGAAATAGTGTAACTTGTTCAGTCTCCTTCATTTTTATCTTCCTTGGCTAAAACCTTGGAATCTTATAAGTAATAAGATTTTTTAAATAAATGGAATCATTCATATAATCCTTGTAGCACTAGGCCATTTTGTGAGATTCTCTTAATGATAAATGTTAATGATCTTGCAAAGTGTTGTAATTATTATCATCTTCAGTTTATCACGGGAAGAGAGCATAGACAATATTCTGTGTTCTCAGAATCCCAAATATTTGTTACTATTCAAGATCCTTTCTCCTTTGACACTGTATTAATCAGGATTCTCTGGAGAAAGAGAACCCTTAGGACAATGAGAAATTGAGAAATTCTACAACCTGCCATCTGCAAGTTGGAGACCCAGAAAGCCAATGATAGTTCTAGTTCAAATCTGAAGGCCTAAGATTTAGGAGCACCAATGGTCTAAGTCCCTCTCTATAAGCAGAAGTCCAAATTCCTGGCAACAGGCAGAAAGAGGACTGGCATCTTGTTCTGTTCAAGGTCTCAGTAGACTGGAGGATGCCACCCACACTGGAGAGAGTCAGAAGCTTTTTTCAATCCATCAATTCACATGCAAAAATGAGAGGGTATCTGTTTATGATCATGTGTATGGTAATGTCTTGGACAGAACTGATATCCACTGTATTCATCCTGAGAAAAATTGGTATGTACACTGTAAGGATATACAGTGATTAACTGTGAATTTTTTTCCATTTATTTTTATTTTATTTTACTTTCTAACTACATTCATTCACTGAGTATTGTCACAGCATACAAAATGTGATTTCCCATCCAGAATATACTGTATGGTGGCTTAATCATACATATTATCGTCGATAATTTTCCATTTCTAGTTTCATATATATATTTCCCCCTATTTTTCACCCTCTGCCATTTTCCACTCTCGTCTCACACTATCTCTGTTGTCTATAGTTGTTTTTCATTCCTTTTATCCCCACATTTTATTGACTTATAAAATTTCTTAAATTATCTAACTACATTCAATAGCAAGTCCAGCTGATACATATATATCTGTGACTACAGGTCTGACTTTAGGCATGAAACTCTGAGAAGAATGAATATACTATAAAGTAGCACCTAGCTTATGCGATATAGCTTAC